CTATCTCTGCCAGTTTTGGAGATAAAAGGGAACCAAAATTTGCAAAGTTCAGTTTATGGTGAAAAGTAGGTCAAAGGTCAATTTTAAGGTCACAGAAAATTGCCTCTAATGACTTTCTTTTTAAATTCACGATTGTCGTCATCGTACCACGTGACCACGTAGCTCATTAACTGGCAGGCCAAGCAAAAAGGACGTTTTTTAGAGTCCAAAATTTACAAAATGAGCTTTTACTTCGTGTATTTAGATAAAGATATCGTTAGTTGGGCATGTTTTCTGAAGAATATGCTCCGTTCAGGCCATTCCGACGGTATGACGCAAGTCCTTTAAGTACCACAGTCACAGTGTCTTCTTTTCAGACAGTAAGATTTCTGGATTATATATTACATGTACGTCTTATCTGGAGATCTACAGATATACAAACTTAGTTACAAGGAATGGGAGCGGGAACATAGCGAAGTGAGTTTATTCTTGACCTGTTGATGACAAATATGGGTTATTAAGTAGGATATTAGGATACTGTATGTTGTAAGATGCCAAATATTAAAATCATCTATAACATTGAGATATGTACAACAAATTACAAAATGGTCTTGTTCCAAATAGCGCTTAACGCTTTGAGACCATTTAAAATGAGTATTATAAGGTTCTGTAGAAAATATTTATATCTAAACCATCATAGATATGTTTTAAAAATGTTATTATTATTATTATTATTATTTGAACGAACACAAAGAAAACTGTTTGTGGAGATTTAATATCAATTTCATATATATAATTTAAGTATAAAGATATATGTAATTTTGACTAATGGAGGATATCATAAGCAGTATCTTCTCTCACATCATATGGCCTTTATTTTCATTTGCGCCAACTTTTTATCTCCTACAGCTGTTGTGATTTCTCATATTTTTCTTAATTAATCCTGGTTACACTCATTTACATACTTTATTATTTTTATATTATGGCACTTATATAGTTTGGGGGATGTTTGATTATCTCCCCAGTTTTGTAACTTTGTATCTTATGCCTTTTATTTTCATTTGCGCCAACATTTTGCTCCTATAGCTGTTGTGGAATTCTCATATTTTTCTTAATTAATCCTGGTTACACTCATTAACATACTTTATTATTTTTATGTTATGGCACTTATATAGTTTGGGGGATGTTTGATGATCTCCCCAGTGTTGTAACTTTGTATCTTATTAGTTTTCGTCATTAATAAATGACAATTTTCAGTCGTATGGACTTATCTTACTTAATTTGGAGCAAAAACAGAGCTTCGTTGTGCTTGTGAACATTTGGCTACACAAAGTCTATTTTTCCCGATCTTTTGGAGTACAGTTGAACTTGTAGGGTTTCTTGTTTTTTTTTTTTAATTAAATTGAGCTGTGTTGTCTTATTGTTGTTTCTGAACATCTAAACGTTCTTTTCTCCACAAAATATTATAACGCTGTCATAACTTATAGAAACATTTCATAAACTTTGCAACTTAGCCTTTTACTTGCTGCAACGTTATTATGGCGTTTTTTATCTCCACAAAATCGTTTTATAACATATTTTGTTATTGTAACACTTCTTATGAGTGTTATTAAAAGGTCTTATATTGCAATGTTCTTCCAGAACGAAATAAAAACGTTATAACAGATAAACACATAAGCATTTCCAAAACGTATTCCGGAAAACTGTCGAAAATTTTGCAAAACGGTTGGAAGTTTATAATTTTCAGTTACTTTTAAATACCTTATGATTTTACTTATGACACATTGTAAAACTTCAACCTTTGAGTTGCGATTTTAGCAAATGAATTATTATCATTATTATTATTATTATTATTAAAAAACTTACGGCAATAATAAGTAATGTTATTCAAAGCTGGAATCCTGAAATAATGTTCCAACTATCGCACCATTGCTTTAATCTGTCACATAAGCAAGGACCTTCCCATCATAATACTTAATCGCATAAAAGCCAAGGTGGAACTGGAACTACCAGATGAACAAACTAGCTATCAAACGAATCTTGGCACGTGCGACATGCTGGCATGCCTTCAGATGCTAATAGACAAAACGCTGGAAGAAGGTGGACAACTCCACGTGGTTTTCATTGATTACTCAATTATAATTTCATACGTGAAGAAATGTTTGACAGTCCATGCAAAAGATCTATTGAACAGTTTTGAATACTTCAAAGAGATTGAATGAACACGTGTCTGCTCCTCGGCAATTGTGAAAATTAAGCCATTTGTACAGAATCACGACGATTAAAACCAAGCCCTAATTTGATCAAAACATCTTTTAAAATGAAAAACAAATGTCTTCAAAGTTCAAAAGCAAAAGCTAATACAAATTTATTTGAGTTTCCTGTGCCCTCGACTACATGTTTCCCACTTATTGAAGTGTATTTAATTCACGGACAAATTATACGTCTCTATATTCGGTGAAAAGATTATGATAAATGAAATATGCAACCGCAATATAAATAGAAATATTGTGAAAACCTTCTAAATAAACATAAAGACACTGGAAAAAGATTTCAAAAACTGGTACGGGTTACCTGTAAAACTAACCGGGTGGAGATTTATTCAGAAAAAAAAAACTGTGTTTTATATGACTGATTACAAAAACTCCAATCTGAGTTTATATTAGCCTTTTACTTGTAAACTGTGCGATAAGTAAAATAC